TCATGGGATTTGGGATCCTTCTTATCCACGTGTTACGAGCATTGCTTAAGTGTAGTACCTGAGTGATACGTAAGATTAATGCTCTATAAGTTATGCGACTTGTTTTGATTAAATGTGTTATATTGCCTATGATTTAGAAGGGTCTAAGTCAAGAGTGCCAGCTAGAATGTACTCCCTGGATCAACAGGCTTTACCTGAACCATTGGAGATAGTAGAAGGTACGATTCGTGTTTACTATTGTTTAACCAAATATTGACTATAGTGAAACCTGAGAGCTGGAAATGAATATATAAGGAAAATACCCTACATTATTTCGAGGTGCATGTATGAATTTCGAGGACGAAATTCTTTTAAGGAGGGGAGAGTGTGACGCCCCGAAAATTAGGAGATTGTTTGTAAATAAGATACTAAAGTGTATTTCTTTGGGTTTGATTTAAAACCTTATTTTGTTTTAAAAAGATTAGAAACCCTAAAATTTTAATCAAAAACCCTAGTTTACTTGTGATTAACTGGTTTCCTTCAATATCTCATCTTTTAATAGAAACTCTAAATTCAATTTATGGAATTGGAAAATCCCTCATGTTATTTTAAAAATGTCCCTTTATTTGGAAATTATTATTTTTATTAAGGCTTGCTACCCCATTTATTCCACGATAAGTGTAAATAAACCTAGAAAGTAGGTTTTCACCTTTGGTTTTAAGATCGGAGTAAAATTAGGGTTTTCGCAATTTTTCACCGGATGAATTTTCGGTACAAAGTAAGGATTAAATTTGGAGATTAAAAGTGACTTTTAAGTGAGAAATAATATGTGAGTAGTAGCAATGATATAAGGTTAGTGAATGGGAAGTAAAAACCCTAGTATGTGAGTTTTAAGAAAAACGGCGCCAACCGGCGGGTCCCGCGCACTACCGTTTGAACGCACCACTTGACCACCACTTTCTTACTGTATAAGCTCATTACTAATTGAGCAAAATATCTTCCCCCTCATGATGATAGCTTGACCGAATGTGTGGCTCAAATGCAAGGAAGAAAGAGAAAATTTTGTGGTTGAGATTAAACCAAGTGTTAGCCAAACTTGTGGCTAGAATTAATTCTTATCTTTCCATCTTCTTATAAGACAAACTTAGCTTCATTTCCTTCCATTTCTGCATCATTCCAGCCGACCAAGAGAGAGAGAGAAGTGAGAGCTTGAGCAACCACATTCCTTCTTGATTCACACCAACCAAGTGCTAAGCTAGAAATCTAAACCGATTGATTGCAAGTTTGGAAGCTTGGGAAGCTAAGGAACCAAGAAATTTCAAAGGAAGTGAACTATCACTCATCCAAGCCTTGTTTTTGAGGTATTCAATCTGATCATGGTCCTTGATCTTTTAAATCTTGTGTTAAGATGTTATTTAGCTTAAGTTTTGGCTTGATTTCAAGATGAGCAAGTGATTGTGATGATTATTGGATGAAATAATCAAATCAGGGTTTTGGGGATTTGCTGCCAAACTTGATGTGTGACTCACATATGTTGTAATTAAGGTTATATAAAGGGTTTTGGTAGTGATTAGAACAAGAAATTGAGGAAAGTTACATTAAAAACTGAAAATCCCAGAAATCTGGAAAATTGTTCTTCCATTCTGCCCGTTTTTGTAGCCCTATGTTAGAGGCCGAATTGGCCTTTGGTCAAAACATGAAAGTTGTTCAGAATGGTATTTTATAGGTTCCCACAAAATTTCAGCTCATTTGCAGCATCGTAGCTTGTGAAAAGACGAAAATACCCTCGCTGATCTAGGTCACTTTCCAGAATTCCGCGTGGACAGTTCAGTCCTTTTGATTGAGTTTATTCACTATGATCCGTTTAGATTTAGCCTTTCACCGAAACATGAAAGTTTTATTACCCTGTCTTAGCTTCGTAACGCCTCCAAGAACACCTTAATTGGATCTTGGTAGACTGAGATATGGTCATTTGAGTGAAATGCGGCTGATTAGCCGAATAGTTGAAACCAGGTTACATGAGTTGGGAATTTGATCAGGTTACATTGAAAATTTGACTGAGTGCTCTTCATGAAAGTTGTAGTGTTCTGAAGTAGCTTTAAAATTCCTCTAAGAACACCTGAATTGGATTTTTGTACACTGAGTTATGTTCATTACAGTGTTCTGCGTTTAAACAGCCGACGAATTGGTTTCTGGTTTAGTAATTCAAGAATTTGACCAAGTTACATTAGAAACTGGACTAAGTGACCTTCATGAATATTGTAGCTCTGTATCTTAGCTTCGAAACGGCATAGGTTTCATTTTAATCCGATAAGCGTAGCCTCGGATATGTTATTTCCGCATTTGTACGTCAAATCTGTTTTGAACTAAATTGAATTTCTGCACTTGTACTTAATACGATTCTTGTTATTATGATATTGTGAGCCTATGGAATGGCTCTTGACATGAATTGCTGATATGTATAATGTTGGGTTGTGTTTGAGAAAAACAATGAAGCCTAAAAGGCTGGAAAATTAGGTAAACACAAAGGGCATGCTGCCCGAATTTTTACTCGAGGACTAGAAAACTAAATTAGCGACTTGAGTGAAGGTTAAGTATTTATCACTTGAACTAGTAAAGACCTTTGCTACTATATTTCTTGAGTGTTATATGTTAAGACTTGGTCGAGCTCGTACCTTGAGGAAAAGACTTAATGGCCAATGTAAACTTGTATTTCCATGTACTTTCAACTCAAGTGTTATTTCCAAGTATTTATGCTACAAAACCTTATGATTTGAAAAGCGAGCAAGTGTTTCGCGAGTGTCTTTCAAATGAATTTCAATTGGTCGATTTTTAATGAATGGAATGTTAACGTTTCGAATTCGACTCGTGTTTCAAAGTTCTCAAACTGGAATTTTTATCGCAGATCTGGACTCCAAGCCTGGAGTGTAATTGAACGTGAATACTTGAAGCACTACATCTTTTGGTGAGTGCTTTCAAATACTGAATTGAACTTGATACTTGTACTTGATACGTGCCAATATGATTACATGTCACATGCGTGAATTGTTAGGGCAAGAGTGTACTTTATCGCACTTGCCCTTACATGATATACACTTGTTTATTGTTGCAATTGACTTGACATACTTGTTATGATGCGCGCACTTCCTGGAATTCCAGAAACCCTGCGGCAAGTTACTTGAGTCGAGCCGGCAAGGGCTTGGTCGATTGGGTAACGAACCCTGGGTCTCTTGTTTTGTCGAGTGGAGTGATATCTCCTCGGCTAAACGGTATACTCGAGTATTACCACACGTGTTTATTGAGGATTTTGGGCCCAGTAGGGGGTGAACGGTGGACGGAGAGTCGTGTAAGTGGTGTTCTACTGGATTGGTTACCTACTTGAAAGTTGACGGAGTGTCAACTGTTACTTGATCAAGCTCTGGAGATGCAATGGAAATTTGGCTCCTGAGAGCCTTCCGTATCCTTATACTTGAAAGTGATTATTGCTTATTGGATTGCTGTTCCTTTTGAAAATCGAAAAAGCACTTTATACGTGCTCATTTGGAAATTTGCTACTTGAAATATTATTGTCCACTCTTATGAGTTTTGATGCCGTTAACTTGCTACATGGATATTCATACTTTTAAAATGGGCAATTTGTTATTTGAAACCTCACTGGGCTTTTAGCTCATTCCACGCTATTTGTTTTCCTTGCAGGAATACGAGTGAGGCGTGAGTCGTGAACAGACTAGCGTAGTCTAGTTGCTCTTGAAATTGTTTTGACTTTTGACTTGTACTCGCGCTATTCCTCGAATGGAACATGTTGTACTTGGATTGTATACATTTTGAACTAGTTTGGTGTATTGAGGCTTTGTACCTCGATTTCTATCAATGTAAATTATAAGCTTGAATTGTGAATGTTATTTATGGTTCATGGATGTGTGTACATGACTCGATTGAGATAGTGAGTGAGTCCTGGCGAGAGCTGGGCAGGCGGTCTGCCGAACCCTTTGGTACGCCTTAGGTGGAGGTGGGGTCGTCACAAAATTGGTCTTTGGTACTTGTGGTTATAATTGTCACCGTGTATCTAGCTCGCTATGTCTTTATTGTGTTTTGATGCTTTAATTCCAATAGCATGAATAATATTCAAAAGATTTCATAACCTCTCCTTTATTTTCTCCGTAACAACCCTTATCTTTAAGTTATTTGTTCCTCCTGAAGCCAGCACTTAGTCGCAAGCAAATAAGTCTTATGAATCACTCAAACCATTCCAACCTTTCCAGTTTGGAATAAATCTGTCTGTGTCACAACGGGGTAGTTTCAGATTTTGTCTTTACAGATCATTATAGTGGATAAATGGTAATATTTTATAATGCAAGTTCACTTGAAAGAAGGTCATTGTAAATTGAAAAAAAAATTCAAAATAGATGATATAGGCTTTTATGGATAGTTTTCAGTATACTTGAAATTGATTTTCCAAGAAAATGGCCTTCTAAGGTTGTACCTTGTATTGTGCAACCTATTCTTACTCATGTTCTTTTTTTTATTTTTTGTATACTCTTTGATGTATATTTTACATGTTCGCTAAGGAGTAGGCTTTAAAGATTAGACACGAGAATTTGAGAATAAAGAAATTCAAATGCTATTGATGTGGCATTATCTTCAAAATTTGTTGTTGATTATGCATTAGATGTGCCATCGAATGATTTTTCATAATCTATTCTACAAACTAGATATAGGCACATGGTCTATGACATGGCGCAACATATTTATTATATCAACACTGCTGTTTTCAAACTCTTTATAGTTGGTTACATATGATGATTATCTTAAAATATCTAATTTTGCATTTCTTCATATTTAGCAGAGTAGACCCGCACTCTCACTTGCAAACCTACCCACCTAATACCAACTTGCAATCTGAACCATAATCTTCAAACTCAACTTTGGAGCCTCAGTACCACCTAATAACAAAAATACATGTTGTGCATGCCATTCTATTATTTCTCTGATTTCAGATTTTTCTTGGTTTTACTGTACAGGTTTGGGATGAACTTGTGGATTGATTTTGGCTCATGCTGAAGAACTCCTCTATTTTGATATCATCCATCTCTAGTATTTTGTTGACCATGGAATTGAAGTCCATCTTTTGGTTTTAGCATATGTTAGGTATATGGCAGTTATCTAGGGAGAAATAGCAATATTTATATTGGTTTCAAATAGTGGAATGGGATGATATGTAAATGTTTGACATGGTTAACTTTTGTGGTTTGACATATTATGGTTGCCTACTAATGATAATTTGTGAAGTTTTGGTTGATATTTTGCTTGCATACTTTTATATTTTGATTGGATGGAATGTCTAAATAGATGATATGGTCACTTTGTTGGCACTAAAATTGTTGGGCTTAAAAGTGATGCAGCTATCGTCTGGAAAAATGACATTGTATTGTCATTAAAGTTTCCCAACAAGTTTCAATGTGTGACTATTCTTGACAATTGAAAATTTAGTGACAAAGTTCAGGGTCTTTCTTGACAAAGGCTCGTCAACAATATGAGGTCTTTTCCTGACGACCAAATCATCACTATTACCTTTCCTGATGATGCGTCACAGAAAATAAAACTTTTCTTGACGAAAATTTCAATAGTTGTCAGGAAAACCTTTTGCCGACGGTTTATAGGTGACCAATCTTCTTTGACGATGTTGGTGTCACGAAAAATTTTCCTGACGAAACGCGTACCTTTTCCCGACAAAAATTGTTGTCACTAGAAATCTTTTTTTTTGTAGTGTTCCTTTGAGTTTCTTTCTACTCTTTCAGCTTAAATCCACTAGATTAACACTTAATCAACATAAATAACATTCAAAATCATCAAATCAGATCATCAAGTCCATTGTGGGATTTCATAGATCCCACTCACATGATTTTCAACAATCCAAAGTTACTCACATGAAGCTACAAGCTTCTAAGTGCAATCTAACTTACAAAAACTAAGATTCAAGGGTTGCATGATTAGCTACCTCCTTAGATGATGAACTTAGAAATTTTCTGTCCTTTGAGCTCCAAGAAAACCGTGAGAATGAAGCTCTTCTCCTAGCCCAAGATGATCTCCAAGTTATTTGCAAGGTGTGGTATGAATTTGAGAGGATTTGGTGCAAGATTGAGAGGTGAAATGATGAAGAAACTTAGTCTTCTTCTCCTTGGTGTTACACGGCTGCTTGAGGGAGAGAAAGGAGGGTTGTTGGCTTATGGTTGAGGCTTCCTTGAGAAGCTTGAGGGAGAGAAAGGAGGGTTGTTGGCTTATGGTTGAGGCTTCCTTGAGAAGCTTAAGAGTTTGTGGCCACAATTACTCCAAAAGTCAACTAGGAATAGTGCGCGTACGCGTGCGATTCGTGCTCGTTTCCCCTTGGATTTATTTTACTTGTGCATTAAACCGCTAATGCACTTCCATTGATACTATTATAATTCACTCTTAATAATCTAAAAATAAAGGTCTAAAGTCCCTCTATTAATCGCGCGCGCGAAAACGCGTACTTCCGATTTGTGCGCGATAGAGTGAAATTTCTAAGAAATTCTCACAACGATAGTATTACTAACTAATACTTGAGTACTTAAACATAAAAATAACTATTTTAAGACTAATGTGTGAGTCTTTAATTTCCAAGCTCACTGTACCTTCAAATTAATTATTGCCTCCAAACGCGTATTCACTATTCTCACTAGATGAGCTTCCAAAAATTAAATTTTGTAACAAGTAATTTTAAAAACATATGTAAGTCGTAGTTCCATGTAATTGGGTTCAAAAAGGTTGGAATAAAATATTCAGGGCAAACAGGCAATTAAATATTTAAATAAGCTAGTAATAGGAATTTAAAATAGGTAAATTTATGAGTCCTCACATCCTCTCCCCCTTAAGAAAATTTCGTCCTCGAAATTATACCTTGATTTGTGAATAGGTCTGGATATTTTTCTCGAATTGCTTCTTTAACTTCCCAGGTTGCTTCCTCTAGCCCATGGTTCCTCCAGAGAACTGTTACCAATGAAATTCGCTTATTTCTCAATTCTTTCACCTTACGATCCAGAAGCTTTACCGATTTCTCCTTATAGGTTAGTGTCTCATCAATTTCAATACTTTCTGGTTGCAAGATATGAGAAAGGTCTGGATGGTACTTCTTAAGCATAGACACGTGGAAAACGTTGTGGATCCGAGACAAACTTGATGGCAGTTCCAACTTATACGCTACATTTTCCACGCGTTGGATAACCTTATAAGGTCCTACAAACCTCGGTTGTAACTTCTTTTCCTTTTCCAGACATCAAACTCGCTTTCAGAGGTGTACCGTAAACTTCAATCGGTGTGCCTCTTCCAAAATTTCTTTCTTAAGCTCTTCATCCTTTGGTACTACTATACGATTCCGAAACCTCAATATGCCATTCATTCCCAAGTTGAAATCTGACTTTTCTCCCTTTTTGACTCTCTCCACCCATTTTTGCATTTCAGGGTCCTTTTCCTGAGCTTCTTTAATACGTTCCAACAAAGTGGAATTCACTACAATATTCCCAACAATTACTTTCCTCGGCTCAAGTCTAGGATTCCAATAACTAACTTCTTCTAACAAGTGTAATTCCTTAATCATCAATCCGGCCACTTGCACTTGACGACTTAAAGCATCGGCCACTACATTAGCTTTCCCTGGATGGTACTTTATCGTGCAATCATAATCTTTCAAAAATTCCATCCACCTACATTGCCTTAAATTCAACTCCTTTTGAGAAAACAAATACTTAAGGCTTTTGTGGTCAGTAAAAACCTCAAATGTTACTGCATATAGGTAATGCCTCTATTTCTTTAAAGCGAACTGTGACAACCCTACCTCCCCCTAAGGCGAACCAAAGGGGTCGACGGACCGCCTGCCCAGCTCTCGCCGGGATTCAGTCATACCTCAATCAAAACCGGAATAAAACCACAAGAATTCGTATAACAAAATCCAAAACTTAAAGCAAAACTTATATACATTGACCCAAAAAAAATTCCAGATTTCCTTCTCTTTTGAAACCTCCCAAAGTCGGCTGCAAAACAGAATTTGGTAGCTAAAAAAAAATTTCCAGATTTCTGCTCCTTTTAAACCTTCCAAAGTCGGCTGCAAAACAGAATTTGGTAGCTTCCTAACCGCTGAAAATTTCCAGATTTGTTACCTTATCAAATCAGAATAGCTTCCACGAAAAAAATTCCAGATTTCTTGTCTTCTTAAATTCCCCTCAAAGTCGGCTGGAATTTCCTAAAAAATTTTCCAGATTTGGTAGCTTCCTAACCCCAAAATTTTCCAGAATTACCTCTTCTTAAATCCCTTCAAAATTTTCGTCCCTTACTCTCCCTCAAGAACAACAATTCGGCCCTCCCCTCTTTGCTCCACACAAGGACAGTTTTGACGCTTGGTGCTAACAATGGCTTCACAAGATGACACAAGCAACGTCACCCAAGAATACCCCAAGCGGCCTGCTCAAGAAACTCCCAAGAGGTTTACTCCTAAGCCAAGAAAGCCCCGTATGGATGCAAGGACGTACAAGAAACTGTTTATACGTAGGGAAGTGCAAATCTTCAAGAATCAAGATGGTCAAGATCCTCAAAAGACTCAACGGGTGATACAAGTGATCAAGGCTCAAGGTGTGCAAGATTTTCAAGAGGAGGTTGGTCAAAACTTTTGAGTAGTCTTTTTCTTGATGTAATTTTCTGGTTTGTTGAAACAATTGCAACAAGACAGAATTTGGCAAATAAAAGTGCGGCTTCCTTCTTTGTTGTTTGCTACCCGAGTGCCCTTTCTCTTTTTCTTTTTTTCTATTTTTTTTTTTTGACTCTAAGAACACACAATTACTCGGCTGTTCTTGGGTAAAATTCCAGAATTTAATGTCAAACCAATGTTCTCCTTCAATCCTCCAATAACTATCAAAACATGTATCAAGATTTTGAGACTTCAAGATTTGTTTCAAGAAACTCAAGAATCCCTAGATTATTGTAGTTCCTCTTCAAGATTCCAACCCCAAACAAGTTTAACCACAAAAATCAGTTTAGGAAATTAATGAAAACAACTTGGTGGAATAAACTAAAGTTTGGACAGATTTGGCAAGAAACTTGCACCCAAGGAAACCCTAGTTGCAAGTGAAAACCCTAGCCGTCGCAGAATTTTTTTTTTTTTGTTTGATATTTAAACAGAATATGCAACGAACAAAACACGGCTACACTTGAAGGCAGGCTTCAAGACAGAATCACACAACAAGTAATGCACGAAGTGGACACGAAGCAAAAGAAATCAAAGAGTGACTCAACAAGACAACAAAGGCGGACAGAATTTTTTTTTTTTTTTGTAATAACAATCGGACTCGACACAAAGGAAGACACGACCAGAATTTCAAAATAAAATTGACTAGAAAGCTTACGAACAAACTCAACAGGATATACTTGATGTCGTCGACTAGCTCTGGATACCAACTGACGTGAGACGGATCTAGACGGACACCAAGTTGGGATGATTGGCGGAACTTTGACCCTTCTAGAATCACGAGCCACGAACTAAGGAGATTCCTTAACCCACGACTAGCAAATTTAGTGAACCAAAAGTATGGATAGAAGAACGCCACAATCAAGGAGACTACTTGATTGATAAGTTCGATGAACAGCTTGAGATTAATTCTCAAGTATTCAAAGGAAATTCTCTTGAGGCAAGAGAGAGTGAATAAACTCACGAATATTGTATAAAATCTGAATTGTGCTTTATTGAATGAAAACCTAGGCTATATATAGCCTTACAGGACTCAAACCCTAGAATGTCCAATGGACGACCTTGCCCTTCATTAAGGGCGAAAATGTCTAACAACTAATTGACTAAAATTAAGACTCCAAATTCGGCCAAAGTGAAGTGAAAATTGACCGAAATTATTAATGCTAACAAACAACTAATAATGGAAACTAAAACCCTAATTAGCAAGCTAGTACTCTTGAATCTTCCAATTCCCCATGTGCTTGAATGGAATGGGCCTTGGTCTCTATATTCTCATCATACATTGCTAGCTCAAAAGGGAGTACAAACATCGAATATTCAAAGGTTCTCAATTCTTCATACATCCAGCCCGTGCCAAAAGGTAGGGCGAGAACCATTACAAAAATCAGGAACTAGTTTAGGCTAGAGCTCTCGTCCTAGCTCGCATTCCCCTGTTAAGGAAAACAAAACTAAAGAGATGAGCTAAAAGCTCAGTGAGGTTCTGAACACATAATCAAACAATAAAGCCAATGCATTAACCATAGATAACCAATAACTCAAGAAAC